TTATATTTATTTGGGATAAATGGTTTTTCAGTGGATATGGTTTTTCTTTTTTTGTTCTTTGGAACTAACTAGCTATACTTTCAATCTAAATGGTTCTCAGAAATGATAGTTTTTTATGGGAAAGCTTTCTATCATGTCTAAAATATTGGTTGCAAATTTCTGATTTGGAATCTGTTTCATATGGATTTCCAAAGTAACCTATGTAATAAATATATTAACAATAATAGTAAAAATAATATAGGTCTTATTGTCAGTGAAATCAGTGATGAAACTATGCTGTGCACATAGTGTGTCTTCATTTTGTCCATCTGCTGTCCTGCCCTACAGTAGTTACTTTCATCAAACTTGGGCTTTTATGGGGAAAGGAGTTTTCAAGTAGCAAAATCCCTTATTTAATTGCCCTAGTGGTAGTAAAAATGGAAAACTTTAGTAGAATCCTTCTGACTGGATTCATTGGGTCCACAAATGACTCTATGGTAACATGATAGCCCAGGGAAAAGCTTCAGAAATGTTGAAGTTTAAAACCAACATCTTGTGTTATATTTAGAGGTCATGAATTTCTAAGATTGGTATTCTAAAAATCAGAGGACTATGGTATTTTAGAATAATGCTTGTAATGTTTATATCTTTACATGCCATAACAATATATTTATTTGTGTAGTCAACAAATATTCATTTTATTCCTACCATGTGCAACACTTAATCAACATTGGGGACAAGATTAATGAGATTAAAATTACTGCTCTGAGTAGGTAAAAAATTTGGCAGGAAAACAATAATCTATATAAATTATCTATAATAATAAAAGCATAATATGCTAATTAGACTGGATGTCCTTCTGGACGACCTTCTGGATGAAGTTGGGGCTGTGAAGGAAGCCTGGGTCCCAGGTGCCTATTGGCGGCTAGAGGAAAGCCTGGGTCCCGGGTGTCAGAGGGAAGCCAGTGCTGGCAGCTGGTGGAAGGAAGGCCTACTTTTGCACAAATTTCATGCATTGGGCCTCTAGTTACTATATACTATGCTAAATGCTACAATAAAAGTATGGACAAAGTTCTGTGAAATCAGAGAGAGAGTAAATAATTTAATGTGGGGGAAAGACCCATAGAGGCAGTGATGTCTGAATTCTGAAAATGTTCATGATCATCCGAGGAAGTAAAAACCACTTCTTTTTGTAGCAGTAGGAATAAAGCCCCAAGAATCTCATGATTAGCTATTACTTAGATAGTATTTAGTAAGTGCCAGGCAAAACACTAAACATCTGACATGCACTATATATAATAAAAGCATAATATGCTAATTAGACCAGACAGCTGAATGACCTTCCGGATGTCATTCCGGATGTCCTTCCAGACAAGCCGTGGTGGCAGTTAGGGGTGATCAGGCAGGCAGGCAAGTGGTTAGGGATGCAGGCCAGGCTAAAGGACCCCCCCTCCCATGCACGAATTTCATGCACTGGGCCTCTAGTCTTTTTATAATATAACCACCAACCAAAATGAGTTATTACTATTATTATCATTTTACAGAGGAGCAGTCTGAAACTTTAAGTGAAGTAGCCTGCCTAAGATCACACAAGTTGGAAAGAGTTAATTTTGATGAATGAGTGAATGAAATCGCATAACATTCATAAATCTAGAATTGAAATGTCTCATCAAAGGATAATATCCTCAGAGAGATTAGCGTGAGTGGTGACATTGTCTAAACAACAGTCATGACATAGCAATTTCAACTTTTCTTTGGAAAGGATCAAAAGCTCTTCATCCTGATCCTCCTTTAGGAAAGTTAGCCCTTAGCATTACTATACAAAGTATTCATTTCCACCAATTATACCAACATCTCCTCACAGGGCTCTAATCTTGAGTGAGATGGAGACATTTCCACTCACCTATATTAGCTTAAATTGAAATGGGCTTTATTCTTTTGTGCCTGAATACCATTTTTTTTTTAGTTTTGAAAATAGGGTTTAGAATCTAAATAACCCCTCTTTTATGCACATATGCTAGTCATGTGAATAGTACCAAATGGGCACTTTCTGTTTCCTTACTTTTCAATGTCTTTCCTGATGGTCTTATTTTTCCAACCAATATTTCACCATTCGGTTACCTGCCATGCACCTCATTAAATAAACATCTGTTGGACTCTTACACTCAGTCACATCTATTATAATATCTATTTTAATCCTCAAAATTAACTCTCTGAGATGGCTAGCATTAACTTTAGATGAGGAGACCTAGACTTGGATACTTTGGTTCAAGGCCACACTTGTTCAAAGTCATAGAGTTAGCAAACCAAGATAAAAATTCAAATATTTTCACACGATGTCTCCCGTTTATTCCACAAGACCAGAGTTGGCCAAGATAAAACAAGAATACATTAAATAATTGAAGATAGTCAATATCTGATTGTATCAAAAGAATTGACCTAGCAAATAAGTGTCATGGAGTGAAGTCAGTGTAGGCTATGGCCATAAGAGACTGGGTTTGTCTAGATGGGTAGAACAAGAGCAAAAGGAAGGCTTGCTTGACTGGAAGAAAAGCATCACCAAATATGCTGAGTTGTGGCTAGCCATGTGATCTGTGGACAACTAAAAAGTCTTCCTGATGTAAATCATTTCCTGGACAAGTTTTTCAATCCTTGTAGCATTGCTTCAAAACCTTTATGGCCTGCCCTAGCTGGTTTGGCTCAATGGATAGAGTGTCAGCCTGTGGACTGAAAGGTCCTGGGTTCAATTCCGGTCAAGGGCAGTTTCCTCCCCAGCTTGGGTCCTGGTCGGGGCTTGTGCAGGAGGCAACCAATCCATGTGTTTTTCTCACATTTATATTTCTCTCTGTCTTTCCCTCTCTCTTCCACTCTCTCTAAAAATCAATGGAAAACTATCCTTGGGTGAGGAGATTATATATATTTTATATATAATTATTATAAAAAAACATTTTATGGCCTACGATGGTATGAAAATAAACAAACAAAGCCTAGGAGGAGAGGAGAACCTGGAGATATTTTTTTAACCCATGGTAATGTGCAGAAAACTAGAATGATGACTACATAATTTGACAGATATTTGACCATGTTCATATAAAAACACAGGGTTATATAGACTTAAGGCAGGTTAAACAAGGTGTGTTTAATGGAAGGCATACATCATAAAAATATGATCTTACTTTGTTTTTAATTTTATCTCAAGAATACAAGCATATTCCATATTCCACTTGTAATCATTTTTCTCAGCAGTTCATCCATTGACATGCACACACACGCATGTGAGCAGATGTTTTCTAGTACCTTTGGCAGAAGAATTTAGTGCCTTGTACACATCACACCTGCCATGTCATGCTTATTGATTGAACGATTCAGCTTGCTGAAAGGTACTGGGTGAGATATTAATTTTAAAATGAAAGCCTTCACATCTGCTAATGCCTGTCAGTCTCTGGAGTGAATGTGCCATTTAAGCCAACGGAAGTGGGCAGAAGCAGCCTTCATGGGTAGGGCTGACAAGTTATTTTGAGTCTGCTGAATTACCTTCATTGTTGCCTGCTACTTGTAGGCAGACCTCTCCTTCCATTAAACTCCAGTGCTCACAAAACTTCTGAAAATAGCTATAGTGGTTTGGAACTCATCTTCCTGGGTTTTCACATAAATGGAATATTTGTGGTAGTTGAGCGATAAATGGTGAGATAATGGTGTTTTACAGGCAGTGAAATGACAAGGTCAATTTTAATTAAGCTGAGATCAACCTCGGTCTGTATTGCACACTTCTGATTAGGTTATTTCAAATTACCATAAGTTTTTGGAGACTTCGCTGAAGTCAGTGGTGTTAAACACCAGCTGTGCTGGCAGAGAAGCGTGGGATATGAGAAGGAGATAGCATTCACATTGAAATTAGCACTTGGCACAATATAATTCTCTGATTGCAAACTATGTGGAGTTGCCTGTGCTAATTGGTTGATTTTATTTGAAGCAGATGTTGTTAGCTTTCCCACTAATGATCTGGAGAGAAATTCTTTTGAAAGACATGCCATGTTAGGATCTCTGCAGTATAATAAGCTAATTACAACTTTAAGTACTTGCAGTAATTAGCACAATGTGTATAAAGTGTTCCTGATCTTTTCACCCTGCCGCATTATTGTCAGGGCAGCTTGAAAAACAAAAAGAAATGCTAGCTGGATTCAGTCTCCCTGGTCTAGCCTCTTCGTTTCCCAGACTTCTGCACTAAAGAGATAATGAACTCGACTGAAATCCTGCTCTTTCAACCATGTCAAAAAGGTTTAGTGCCAACTCCTACCCTACTACACCCCAAGAAATGGAGAGTGAAATTTGCCAAACTAAAATGGTACCTTGCACACATTTGCCTTTAGGGCCCATGAGGTCTTCATCACATTAGCAACTGAGGTATTTGAGGACATCTTAGCGTATTTATCTCATGTTCATTTATTTTACTTGATTACCAATGCAATCCAGGGTTCAAATCTAATTTTGTTTGAGAACATTGCCTCAACACACTTCCAAGTCAAAACTCTGACGTCCTTGTTTAAAAGCTTTGTGTGCTTGATATTTCTGTAAGCCTAAAATCTAGTCTTTCTATATTTTTAACAACCAGTTGTTACAGGTACATATTTTGCTTATAATAATTATGAGAGTGAAGACATAATGCGAATAGATGTGCGGAGTGTGACAAAATTAGAAACAAATTAGTTGAGAGAAAGTAATTGATAAAGGCAAATTCTTAACATACCACGGGAAGTCCACAGTAATTGCTATTAATGGGAGTGAACCTGACATTTGAGGCTGGTGACTAAAACTTTGGTATCTCTAAGAAGCGAAGTTGATCAGTAGAAAATAATTTATAGTAAAATGTCACTATTTCAATAGCTCTTGTGGCCTTTTCAAGAAAGTTTTAGGGTTTGGATTTTTAAAATCTATTATTTGAAATAGGTGTGTAAGAGTAAAAATGCAGCCATTCCTAACAGAGACTTCTATTGGAACTGGTGAATGAATCTGTTTTTTTAAAAAATATGGAATGCTTTGTGAATTTGCATGTCATCCTTGCTCAGGGGCCATGCTAATCTTCTCTGTTTCGTTCTAATTTTAGTATATGGGCTGCCGAAGCAAGCACAATGTATCTAAGTTTTTATGTTTTCTTTTGGATCCTTTCATTTCAAGATACTTCTGGGGGAAGGCAGACACTGAACAAATTCTTCTTTTAATCTATAATTTTATTGATTTCCGAGAGAAAGGGAGAGACAGAAACATCAATTATTAGAGAAAATCATTGATAAGCTGCCTACTGCATGCCCCCTACTGGGGATTGAGCCTGCAACCTGGGCATGTGCCCTGACTGGGAATTGAACCAAGACCTCCTGGTTCATAGGTTGACACTCAACCACTGAGCTAAACAGGCTGGGCAAATTCTCCTTATAAAGTGTCTTTGAAGAAGTCGGCTGGCTCCTTTGGCTCTAATTACTGGAAAGCAGGCAACTTGATCTCATATTCTGAACTTGGCTGCAGAAAAAAGGTAGAAAATGCCCTTATTTGTACTTCTAGTACTGTTGTCTCATTAGTTCTGGAATTGAAAGCTGGGATTTTTGTGGTTGGTGGATTTATCTACCTCCAGTGATGTAGAATTTCACAAGGTAAATAGCCAGGCTGCTGCTAACATCAACAGATTATGTCCTAAAGAGAGGAGGCATCAAACAAAAATATCACCCTTGCCGGTTTTGCTCAGTGGGTAGAGCATCAGCTTGCTGACTGAAGGGTCCCGGGTTTGATTCCAGTCAAGGGCATGTATCTTGGTTTCAGGCTCAATCCCCAGCCTGTTTGGGGTGCATACAGGAAGCAACCAATCAATATGTCTCTAACATCAATGTTTCTCTCTCTGTGTCTCTCCCTATCCCTTCCACTCTCTCTAAAAATCATTGGGTGAGGAATCTATCTATTATCTATCTATCTATCTATCTATCTATCTATCTATCTATCTATCTATCTATCTATCTCCTAATATATAAAAGCCCAGGGTTGTAACCATGGATCACTACCAAAGGCTGACCAACCCAGAAGTCCTTCAGTCAGTGCTGGGTTGCTGTGGCGACCCAGCACTGACTGCCCAGCTGCAGCCTGGCAACCCAGCACTGACGGGCCAGGGGACTGGGACCCAGAGAGAGAGGCAGAGTCTGATCCACAGCCTCAGTGGCAGCTGTTGATTAGTACTTGCCTCTCTTTCTTTCTGGGCTTTTCCAGCAGCCGGGTCTTTCTCTCCTGGCCTTCCTGGGGGCTGCTGTTCAGCCCTGCCTCTCTGATCAGGCCTGGAGATAGGCCCAGAGATGTAGACTGGCATAGGAACCGACCAATCAGAACCAAATGTGGTTGCTGTGAAGAACCAATGGCTGCCTAGGAGGCAGAGCTTCTGACGCTGACTGGCATAGAAACCGACCAATCAGAACCAAATCTAGGTGCTGTGGGAAGCCAATGGCTGCCTAGGAGGCGGAGCTTCTGACGTTGATTGTCATAGGAACTGACCAATCAGAACCAAATGTGAGTGCTGTGAAGAACCAATGGCTGCCTAGGAGGTGAAGCTTCTGATGTTGACTGGCATAGACACTGACCAATCAGAACCAAAAGTGGTTGCTTGTGGGGAGCCAATGGCTGCCTAGAAGGCGGAGCTTCTAACACTGACTGGCATAGAAACCGACCAATCAGAACCAAATCTGGGTGCTGTGGGGAGCCAATGGCTGCCTAGGAGGCGGAACTTTTGACGTTGATTGTCATAGGAACCGACCAATCAGAACCAAATATGGGTGCTTTGAAGAACCAATGACTGTCTAGGAGGTGGAGCTTTTGATGCTGACTGGCATTGAAACCTCCCAATCAGAACCAAATCTGGGTGCTGTGGGAGCCAATGGCTGCCTAGGAGGCGGAGCTTTTGATGCTGACTGGCATAGAGACTGACTAATCAGAACCAAATGTGGGTGCTGTGAAGAACCAATGGCTGCCTAGCAGGTAGAGCTTTTGATGCTGACTGACATTGAAACTGATGAATCAGAACCAAATCTGGGTGCTGTGGGGAGCCAATGGCTGCTTAGGAGGTGGAGCTTTTGATGCTGACTGGCATAGAAAGCTCCCAATCAGAACCAAATTGGCCAGCAGAGGAGGGCAGTTGGGGGCAAGACCAGGCCTGCAGGGGAGGGCAGTTGGGGGTGATCAGGCTGGCAGGCAGAGGCAGTTAGAGGCAATCCAGAAGGCAGCAGGTGAGCATTTAGGAGCCAGTGGTCTCAGATTGCAAGAGGGATATCCCCCAAGGGGTCTCCAGTTGGAGAGGGTGTAGGCTGGGCTGAGGGAACCCCCCTCCATGCACGAATTTCATGCACCAGACCTTTAGTGTGTGTGTGTGTGTGTGTGTGTGTGTATATATATATATATATATATATATATATATATATATATCAGCAATTTGAGAAAAGCAATAGTAGAGAGGTCTGATAGAGATTCTCCTCAAATTATTAAAGGAAAAGAAGGTTGTAGTTTTAAGGGAATTACAATATAGATAGTCCCTGACTTACAATGGTTTGCTTTATGCTTTTTTCAACTTTACGATGATGCAAAACCACATGCATAATAAATTACCTGAAATTATACAATACTTTATTATAAAATAGGCTTTGTGTTATATGGTTTTGCCCAACTGTAGTCTAATGTAAATATTCTGGGCACGTTTAAGGTAGGCTGGGCTAAGCTATGATGTAGGTTAGGTGAATTAAATGCATTTTTTACTTACTATATTTTAAATTTACAATGGGTGTATTGGGATGTAACACCATCATGAGTTGAGAAGCATCTGTACTTTATACATTTTTCATAAACATAAAGATATGCTTTATGGTTCTGAAAATTAGTGAAAATTAAACAGAAAAGACTTTGTACGTTGGCTTCTCTAAGTTTATAGAGCCTCAAATGCTCAGTGAAACCCAATCAGAGGATTAAGTATACTCAAGCAAAACATTCAAGGACAGAGTTTAGACCTAGTGTGACATTTTACACCTGGAACAGTGGCATGTCTTTGGCACATAATGAATTGTAAATGGATGAATGCATTTTTTGGTGAAAAGTTAACAACTCATTCTCTATCACTGCCATGATTTTTGGTGAGTTTCCACACTCCTGGAAATATTGGCATGAATTGGAACTACTTGCAATGCCATATATAATTATTTGTCTAATTGGTGTTGATATACTTACAAGTGCTTTAGTACAAAAAGTTAAAGACTTAACACTAGGTGTTGGGAGTTTTGATACCTAGCATCTTATTGATAAAATTTAAAAGTCTTATTTGGCTATAGAAGAGATCAACCCACTTTGTAATGGAGCATTTGCTAGAGTAACAAAACCTTGTTTGATGCCCAGCCGGTGTGGCTCAGGGGTTGAGTGTTGACCTATGAACCAGGAGTTCATGGTTTGATTCCCAGTCAGGGCACATACCTGAGTTGTGGGCTCAATCCCCAGTAGGGGGTGTGTAGGAGGCAGATGATTGATGATTCTTTCTCATCACTGATGTTTCTATCTTCTATCTCTCTCTCCCTTCCTCTCTGAAATCAATACAAATATATTTTTAAAAACTTGTTTGACAATAAACCAATGGATTTACATTGTTTTGTCAGTAAGGCTCCTTTATTGTTATCTTGTTTTTGTTTACTTAAACCCAAGGTTTATATTACTTACTCCTGATATAATAACACAGTCATAGAAATATAAACTAGGTTCCTAACAGTACATTTTTTGTTCTCACTATAAAACATTTGTATTTTCATAAGTTTGAGAAAGCTAGATGTGGTCAAACTGCTGCTAGATGCTTAAAATATAATATGTACAGTGGAATGTTATATATTTATTATATATTATGATATATATATATATATATATATATATATATATATATCATTAAATATACATAATGTCACATACTGCCGGGAGCCGGTCCATGCTTGCTGTTTCAAGGGACCTGGCATATATGGCATACTGTTCTTAATATGTTTGCTCACCTTCTTGGCACTATGTGTTTTAACCAAGGTCTCTGAGAAAGGTTGTTTCCCCAGGTAGGGATTTTCCCCTGAAGTTAGGGAGGGAATAAAACCTCTTAACTAAGTGCCAGGTGGGTAATTAATCACTTTAACTACGAACAATCATGCTTAAGCTACATAATCTTTACTCCCTGGAATGGAATAAGAAACGCCCTAACCTTTGGAATAGAGATTGATAGGATTGGAATCAACTGGTATAAATACAGATGTAAGAAGACAGAACGAAGAGAGACAGAACCTAGGCACAGAACCTACACAGAACGTTCTCTAGAGACAGAAGAACTTCGCTGGAGAACATGGCAAAAGTTCCTGGACAGAAACTGGCCTCAGAACCTAGAGACAGAACCTAGCGAGAGAATATGGCAAAAGATCCTGGACTGAACCTGACTACAGAAATTGGCAAGAGAACCTGACTAGAACCTGGTAACTGAACCTGGCTGGAGAACTTGGACAGAACCTGGCTGAAGAACCTGGAGAACCTAGCAAGAGAACATGGACACAGAACCTGGCTGGAGAACCTAGCGAGGGAACATGGCTACAGAACCTGGCTGGAGAACCTGGAGAACCTAGCAAGAGAACATGGACACAGAACCTGGTTGGAGATCCTAAGCAGAACTTCGCTGGAGATCCAGACCAGAACTTGGCTGGAGATCCTGGCTAGAGATCCTGGCTAGGCTGCTGATCAACTGAACGCTGTCTCTGTGTCATTCCTTCTTCGCCGACTCCCTCCTCACCTATGGGGAACCCCTGGACCTGCTGGGGCTGGACCCCAGCAACATACAGTAGACATTATCTATTATGTAGATTTCAAAAATAATCTATCATCCAACTATTTATCTATCTATCTATCTATCTATCTATCTATCTATCTATCATCTATCTATCTATCATATATCAAGAGAGGTCACCATTGGGAAGAACATAATCAGGCCAAATGGTTAACTATCCTTTCATTATGTTCTGGTAACACTTATTTGGAAAGACTTAATGGCTAATCCATGACTTTTTTAAATATACGTTTTCATGAAAAGAAAATCGTCCTACA